TAAAATAAAATAAAATAAAATATCTGCATTGATTCCCATTCACAAAATGAAACTAAAGTACCTCTTCATCAGAGCAGCATCTCATTTTTTCCCATAGGTTCCTGTTAACATCAGTCAACAGCTTATCTTGGTTCAATGCAGAGACTTTTAATCTTAATACAGAAAAGTTCATTAGTACAAGGTTCAAAAGTCAGCTAGAACAAAAACGCTAATGTTTATAGTCATATTTGCTATAAATAGAAAAATTTTTCTCACAATCATAATTTTCATCTCAATGTATGTTCTAATGTAAAAACATTCTGTTTATCTTTAAGTCCTGTCAATGCATACCAGCTATGAAGCTATAATGACATTTTGAATAAAAGTTCCCAATTTATTTAAAAGTCATATATTACTTTAGTTTTTTTAGATTTCATTTTACTTTTTGTTACACTGGAGACTGAACACAGAGCTTTTGTGCTGAGCTATATCCCCAAACCATTTTATTATTTATTTCAAGAAAAGATCTCACTACATCATTAGGTTGCCTAAATTGATCTTGAATTTGTGATCCTCCTACCTCACCAACCCAGAATGCTAAGAGTACAGATTTTCTTTTTTTAATGCCTATGGTATAGGGTGTCATTATGCAGCTCAGACTCCCAATGATACTTATGCTTTCAGCCTCCCCAGCACTGGGATTACAGGTGTGCACCACCACACCTGGACTCCTGGTCGGCTCAGTGCACGAGGGCGTGGGCACTGGGGGGTGGGGGGTAACTTGTGTTTCAGGGGATCAAACCCTGGTCCCTGCTAAGATTACAGATTTGGGGGTGGCCAAATAGCTCAGCAGATTAAAGCTCCTGTAAGTAGATGCAGGGGCTGGGGATGGGGCGGGGGTTCAATCCTGAGCCAGGGTCCCAGCCCCACTCCCAGGGCACGCTGAGACAGCATTGAGACTGGGCGTGGTGGCGTGTGCCTGTAATCCCAGCACTTGGGAGGCTGTAAATAGGAGAATCACTACTAGTCTGATCTAGTAGTGAGACCCTGAACACCCTGTAGACCTGCTTAAACATATAAAAAAAGATTACAGAACTGCTCCACCATATGTGGCTCATACTTTTATTGAGTAATATTTACCGAAATACCAAAGCTGTAACAATCAAAATATAGGTGTTATTATCCCCACTTTATGGATAATGAAGTAAAGGTTAAATGACTTGCTCAAAGTCATAAAGCTAGTGTTGTTTGACTACAAAAGCAAAATTTTTTCACCTACTCATTTTACTGCCAATTAATGCCATCAACTTTTTCCCAGGGTATTACTATTCTAATCAAAACTTTACCAGACGATCTATTTTCTTCTAAAACAACAACAACAACAACAACAACAACAACAACAACAACAACAACAAAAACCCACAGAAAAATTTAAACTTTTCTTACTCTTCAATCCTTTGGTGAAGAACCTCACAATCTTCTCTATAAATCTGTATCTTGGGTCCATAAATATACTGTCTTAACATCAGATCTTCTGGAGTAGGTGATGTATTTATAGCAAACTGAAAATAATGAGTAAATCAGTATCTAAGAGCTGGCATCTTGAGAAAAAAAACAGGAAGAATAAATTCAAGCTTCTGAGCCTTTTTTTTTCCCCCCGCAGTACTGGGGATTGAACCTTTGCACTGAATTATATACCTCCATCTCCAGTGCTGTTTTATTTTTTACTTTGAGATAGTCTCTTAAAGTTATTAAGTTGCCCAGGCTGAGCTGGAACTGCAATCCTCTGCTCTCAGACTGCCAGAATGCTGGATACACCACCAAGCTTAGCTGAGAATACCTATTTTAAATGTATACAAAGAAAGCTGAGGGAAACAAGTTAATATGTATGACAGCCTAGGTTCAATTCCATTTATATATATATATATATAAAGGTGGTTTTTTTTTTTGGCTCGGAATGCCCTCAGGGGTGGTTTGGCTGGCTGGAGTGTTGTGGGGATCAAACTGCAGCAACCTGAGGCTGACAGCTTTGTGGAAGCAGCCACTTAAACAACTGATCTAAGGCCAGGCCCCCTGTATATATATATTATACAAAGAAAAAACTTATAGATCAAACATTCAAATATCAAAACAGAAAAAGCTAATGTTCTGGAAGATAAAATAGGTGAAATGCTTGAAGGCATAGGCATAGGCAAGAATTTTCTGAATAGAAACTCACTGCACAAGAAATAACATTCAGAATCAACAAATGAAAAAAAAATAATAAAATGGGACCAGATGCTGTAGTGCATACCTATAATCCCAGCACTCAGGAGGCTGAGGCAGAAGGATCACTGTGAATTTAAGGCCAACATGGGCTACAAAGAGAGCTCAAGGCCAGCCTGAACTACATAGTAAAACCCTGACTCAAAAAGAAAAAGAAAGGGCCAGCCAGATAGCTCCACAGACTAACGTGCCTGCTTCAACAGGCATAGGGACTGGGGTTCAATCCCTGGAGTGTCATGCTGGCCCTACCCGTGGGGTGCACTGAGAAGGCAACTGAGACTGGGCATGGTGGCAGGTGCCTTAATCTGAGTGCTTGGTAGGCTGAAAACAGGAGGATCTCTATGAGAGAACAGAAGAAGGAAAGTGGTAGAGTTAGTAACTTTTTTTTTTTTGTGGAACTGGGGATTGAACTCAGATCCTTTACTTGCCAGGGAAGCACTTATTCTACTGAGCCATCTATCTCCCTGGCCCCAAGTTAGTAACTTTTGAAGTTGAGTGGCAGATACATGTGTATTTGTTAAATTATTCTCTATTTCTATACATGTTGAAAATTTCCTATAATACTTATTCTCCCAAAGGGGAGGTTTCCTCATGAATGTTCACATTCATTAAAGAACATAATCAGGTTCCCACAGATGTGCCAGGAATCCCAGTGGGGACCAGACATATTCTCTGTGGTGTATATTGAATGTAGTTATTGCTGTATGTGCTAGGTGGCTTAACTTGCTGCACCTGGAACTCAGGACCAAGCTGTAAAAGCTGTTCTCTTCTTATTTAAGTACTTTGATTAGAAACATCAAACTTATTTACACTCAGCATCTGAATATGTTAGTCTTGATGAGAGCACCTACAGTCATTCTTCAGCCATATTGGGGATGTGAGTTACAGTGCTTCAGCATTACCCACTCCATGAGCATGCAGGGGGCATAGGCCACTATAAGAGCAACTTCTGCCAATGCTGCGGGATGAACTCCTGCAACTGAAGCTTGCATATATTTTCTCTAAGAGCTGACACATATTTCCTTATACCTCAAGAATATGTTCTCCAATTCTTATTTTATAAGAGATTCATAGACATCCAAGTCCTGAAACACATGCCCACAGCTATGAAGCTCATTTCCCATGGCCTATACAGTCTACCCCTTTTATTCTTTGAGATTTTCAAATTTCTTTCCTGATGTAGCATGAATCTCCTTTCCACCTTGGGTTTGTTCCCAGATCTATTTCCCTACCACTACTTATTTGATCTCTGCAAGGCATGTCAACAGTGGTGACAAACCCTTGGCATGCATGCTACAGAAGGCTGTTTGTTATCAATGAAAAGCCCATAAAGTTCTCCAGGTGAAAAGAGCAAGACTCGCAGCACCAAATTTCAAAGGGTCAACATTTGAGGTGTCTTCTCCTTCCTCTACTTCCTCTGTACTCTCCTCTGCTGCTCACACTCCCGTGGTACTCTTTCTGATTCTCCTACAAAGGGTGCAGCCCATGGATGCACACCTAGATTCCTTTATCTTCCCTACTTGTTTTTGTATTTTGTTTCTGAGACAGGGACAGGCTGGCCTTGAACTCAATATATGCTCCAAGCTGGCTTCAAACTCATACATTGGGGGCCGGGGAGATAGCTCAGTGGAATAAGTGCTTGCCTGGCAAACTCATACATGAATTTCTTTCTCAAGTATATATCTAGGAATAGATCATGAAGGTACCAATTTCTTTACATACTTGCAGGTGCTTGTGTTTTTATTGAGACAAGGTCTTGCTATATATACTTCAGGCTAGCTTTGAATTTACTATGTACCAGGGTCACACTGGCCTTGAACTCTTGGCAGTCCTCCTGTCAGGCTCCTAAGTGCTAGGATTCCAGATGTGTACCACCATGCCAGGAATGCACTTGTTATTTTCTTTTCCCTCTTCTATTTGCCATTATAGGGATTGAATTCATGGCCTTAAAGACTCTGCCACTCAGCTACAATCCCAGAATTTTTCTTTTTCTGTACTTTTTTGAGTCAGACTTGCTGGAATTTATAATCTGCCTGGCTGAGCCACACCAATAGCTACGTAGATATTTGGGGGGAAGGAAGTGGGGGCAGGGAGAGGTTGTTTATTTTGGAGACAGTCTCTCTTATTATGTAGTTCAGGCTGGCTTTGAACTCACTATGTAGCCCAGGCTGGCCTCAAACTTAAATCCTGCCTCAGTCTCCTCAGTGCTGAAATTATAGGTGTGCACCAACATGCCAGAGTTAATTTCCTGTCTTTTTTATTGTAACTAAACCAGTAGGAACTCACTATGCTTTCATTTTCATTTCCTTTTAGGAAATGAAATACTAATGGTATTGAGTATTTCATGTGCTTACTGATCATTTGTGCATGTTTTTATAGAAAGCCTATTCAAGTCTTTTTTTTTTTTTTTTGGTTCCTCGAATGCCTTCAGGGCACTTTTGGCCAGCGGGAGAGGTGTGAGTTCGAACTCCAGCAACCCGAGGCTGACAGCTTTGTGGAAGCAGCCACTTAAAGGCCTGAGCTGGGGCCAGGACCCCTATTCAAGTCTTTTGACTACTGGGTTGTATTTACATTGAGTTGTAAGAGTATAGTGTATATTGTAGATAAAGGCCTCTTAAAAAAGACGATTTGCAAATATTTTCTCCCATTTTGTCAGTTGTCTTCAGCTCTTTCTGTTTTTGTTTTTTCTTTCTTTTATGAAGGCTTGAACCTAGAGAGCACAAAGCTGTAACCCTAAGACACCCCTACTCAATCTTTTTTTTTTTAATAAATTTTTTTTTAAATTTATGTGTGTATGTGTGTGTGTGTGTGTGTGTATGTGTGTGTTTGGCCAGCTCAGCCCACCAAGGGGCGGGGCTGGCTGGCATGTGGTGCTGGGGGATTGAACCGCAGTCCCTGTGCTTTGCTAAGTTTGTTCTAAGTAGGTGCTTTAGATCACTGAGCCATTTCACCAGCCCCTCAATCTTTTTTTGATATAGGGTCTCACTAAGTTGCCCAGGCAGGACTTGAACTTGCAACCCTACTGCCTCATCTTCCTTCAGCGCTGGAGACATATTCCATTGCATCTGACATGGGTGTGTTTTTCTATTAATCTTATAGATGGTGGAGTTTGTTGATTGTGTTATTCAAATATTCTATTATCTTAGGCTTTTAATGTTTTATTTATTATCTTTGATTTTTTTTTTTTTTTTTTTTGGTGGTACCAGGATCAAACTCAAGACCTTGCACTTGCCAAGCAAGCACTTATTCCACTGAGCTATCTCCCTGGCTCTCTATTTATTTATTTTTGAGACAAGGTCTCACTATATAGTTCAGAGTTCAGGCTGGCCTTATACTCACTATGCCTCAAACTCAGAACAAGGCTCCTGCCTGAGCCTTCTGAGTACTAGAATTATAGCTATGTACCATTACACCTGTTTTTGGTTTAAAAAATGTTTATCAAAAACTTCTACACTTAAAGATTTTTATTTTTCTTAAGATTTTTATAATGAAAGAAAAACATACTACTTTTATTTTTTATTTTGAGATAGGATTTCGTTAAGTGGCCAGGGCTGGCCTCAAACTCACAATCCTGTTTTTTTCTTTTTTCCAGAACTGGGAATTGAACTCAGGCCCTTGCGCTTGCCAGGCAAGTGCTTATTCTACTGACGTATCTACCTGGCCCCTCACAATCCTATTGTCTCAACCTTTTAAGTAATTACGTGTGTACTACCTAGCTTAGGAGGTTATTTTTATAATGAGAAGAAAAGTATTACAAGTTTGTAAGGAATAAGAAAAATTAAAATTTTGCCTTATTAAAATTCATGATCTTCCAGAATACTGTATATTAACCACGAATGTATTTCTTAGAAAAGGGAATTTTTCTATAGGAAAATCACTTCCTTTTCTTGACCAATAGGTGGTTGCTTTGATCCATTTGAACAGGAGTTCAGTTGGGCACGGTGACACATGCCTATAATCCCAGTACTCAAGAGGCTGAGGCAGGAAGATATTTATGAGTTCGATATTAGCCTGGGCTATATGGTGAGTTTAAGGCCAGCTTAAACTTCATAGTGAGTCTCTGTCTTAAATAACAAACAAATAAAAAGTAGTATAGCATAATATATTGTAACTAAGATAACTACTTGCCAAGAAGCTGCACTTACTTTGGCTGGGAGGCTGCTCTGCCGAGGTTTCTGTATCAAGATATGGACCTGAAGAAGTATGAAGAACTCTCTTACTGTTATTCTCCCATCCTTGAGTTTCTGAAAAAAGGGGGAAAAAAAATAGCTTGTATGACCATTGTGTATAAGCAAACTACAAGAATAGATTTTATTTAAGATTATTTCTTAAGGATATTCAATATAAGAGTTCACAAAAGTCTTTATTTTTTTTTTTTTTTTTGCATATGTCTTTTAATCTTCATTTCCTTCTCTCTTTATTTTTCCATTTGTTTGAGGCAAGATCTTGCTATGTAGCACAGGCAGGCCTTGAGTGAGTCCACATCTGAACTCACTATTTAAGTTCAAGGCCTCAAATTCATGGTCATCCCCATCTCAGCTTCCTGAGTGCTAGGATTATACTCTTGAGTGCTAGAATTGCACTACCACACCCAGCTTTAAACTTCATTTCTACTTTGTATAGTCTGGGTATTTGCCCTCTCAAAACGCATGCCCCAAAATGTAATACTCAAAGTACTTGGGAGATAATTAGGGTTAGATGCAGTCATGAGGCAGGATTCCTATGGCTGCATTAGTGGCTTCTGAAGAGACCCAGCTTAGCAAGCTTGCTCTATCTTACTATAAGATGAACTCTGCTGCTGCAGACTCTCCCTCAGCAAAAAAGCCCCACCAGAAGTTGATCCAATGCCAGTGCCACACCATGGGACTTCTCAGCCTCCAGAACCATCAACTAAATAAACTATATTTGTTTTTTTTGTTTGTTGTAAACTTCTATTTTCTATAAGTTACCTAATCTGTGGTATAACAAGAGAAAATGGACTGAAGTTCACTTCACATAATTATTGAATCCTTAACAAAGAAAATTAATCTATATGTTTGAAATAGTTCATCATTTTCATCATTTTAAAACTTTTTCAGCTGTGCATAGTGATGCACGCCTATAATCCCAGGACTCAGGACACTGAGGGAGGAGAATAACCAAGAGTTTGAGCATAGCGTATGCTGCACAGTGAGTTCAAGGACAGTCTAAATTACATAGTGAGACCCTGTCTCAAAAAAAAAAAATTTTTTTTAACGAGTGTATGGTATTGGAGGTTGAAACCAGGCATTACAGCTACATTCCTAGCCAATTCAATTTAAATTCAAATTTAATGTTTTTTGAGTCAAGATCCTGCTGTGCAGTTCAGGCTGACCTTGAACTTGCAGCAATCCTCCTGTCTCATCCTCATGAGTGATGAGAAATATAGATAAGTGCCACTACACTTAGTTTTACTTTTGAGACAGGGTTTCTCTGAAGTCACTAAAATGCCCAGGTTGAGTTCAAACTTATAATCTTCCTGACTCAGCATCCCAGAACAGTGGGATGACAGGCATTCACCACCATGCCCTCTTTTAAAGCAAAAAACAAATTTTTTTGAGAGTCTCACACTATGCAATTCAGACTGGCTTGAAATTACTTTGTAGCCCAGGCTGGTCTGAAACTTGTAATGATCCTCTTCCTTCAACCTCCAGAGTGCTGGGATTATGTGTGTGTCACCAC